AAATTTCAAAAATACAATATTATTTTATTCTCGCATATAGACTAATGACGTCATGCGAATCGACTTTTCTGACTTTTATTGACTCGTATCTACAATGGTCCCTTTATATCGATATATCTCATGATGACACATGAATCGCCCTCTTACATTTACAAGCGACGAATAGTCGAATAGTAAATAACAATCGATTTTCATCGTGCAGAAAGCGATCGAGGTTCATCATAAGAAAGAAAGATTTCCAAAATCACGACGCGGTTATAAACAATTAAGCGAGATAAAAGGATCATACTTTCTCATATTCTCATTAATAAAGACTATGATATTTAAAATATTATCAATATATAAATATATTTTGAATTGTTTTAATATTCTAATACCAATCAAAATTAAAATAAACACAAAACTATGATTATGTACAGGGAGCTATCAGCGCTATTGTGTCATTTTGTCCTTGTTTTATGTTTAATAAACAATAAAGTTAAAATGACACAATAACGCTGATAGTGCGATCCCCTAACGCAGAGTTTGTACCATATTGACCATAATATTTTCTTTATTCATTTTCTTACTCATCAAGTGTGATAAAAATTAAAATAGTTTCATTTCGAATTTTGTACTAAAAATTTGTGAAAATCAAACTGCTTCGTGACTGCGGAAAACTCTTAAATCAAAAGTAGTCTTTACAATATCGATACTTATACACCTCACAGCATTTCAGTCGTTGGAATGGTATGTCAATACCTTTTAGTACCATTCCAAAACAAATATTCTTAATGTCTAGATTAGACATTAAAAAAAAATTTTATATATTTTATTGTAATTGTCTAAATATATTTTCGGCATAACGCACCTATAATGTAACTAATAATTTCGCGCCTTTATTTTTCTTTTATATAATTTCTTTATACTCTTTATTAAACGCAACTTTAAAAGTCTGCGTTAATTTTTATGAAATTTAATGTTACGTGCAATCCGTATATTGTATCCAAATGTAACCTGTTTACTAACACATTGCACTTATTCACTATGGCTATCGATCAATCGCAAACTGATATTTCATATTGAGCATATGTAAAACTTATATGAGAGAAATTATTTACAAAAAAGGAAGAAAAAGAATACTGCAGTTTTCTTATGAATGTAATCCGGTCACTCAATTTGCCATTCGAATAAAAAATTTGTGTATCGTTGTCGATACGAATCAAACTGCAATTACCGCTCAGCCTAGAGATAATTTTCATTTCGCGGGCTAACGGATGCCTGAAAATTATCGTGTTAATAGGACTGGCATAAATTGACTATAGTAATTTCGCATCATAAATTGCTTGCGACTTTATTCAGCTAAGACTTGAAATATGGATTTCGATAATTTTTTTTATTAGAATTGAATCAACTTTGATAAAAAAAACTGTGCGTGCTTAAAAAACTTAAAAAATTAAATCCCGTTTTTTATATACGCTACTTTACTTTAGGCGATATAATGAATTCTATATTAAATTAATTCTCACAAACGATCAATTGTTCCGGGCTCAATAATATTCTTGATTGATAACCTTATTTAATAAGGAGAATATTTTGTCGCTCAAGACACGACCTATGTACTTATATATATATATATATATATACTAACAGCACTATCATCAGACAAAGGTTATCGATCCACGCTCTTCTCACGCACGCAACAACACATAAAAATAAAAGACGCGATATTACGCTGTCACTAGAAATGAATCAACTTTATCGGTTACACCAATCCCTATTATCTGTTCAATTAAATCTCTGATCAAGTCCCACCGGCAATTACCTCCCGCTGATAGATTCATCGCTTCTCAACCGATCAAATCTTCACGAGAGAGAGAAACGAAAGTAAAAAAAAAAAGGGGGGAGATCAATCTCTGACGCTATCTCGACCCAAAGAAGCCGAGAGTTTTCAGAGTGTCGGTGACTCTGTTGATCAGCTTATCCTTGTAACGCCATATCGTCGTGTCTACCACACTATTCTCCCGATATTCCACGCATGTTTTCTTTAATGATCGCACGCAATCGGCGCGATAATGCTGTAGTTGCGCATCCTCGGTCTCAATGGGATAACTGGTGCATCCAGCACCCAGACATGCCAGGGGAAAATGGTTGTGCAGAGTGACCACTCGTTCTGGATTATGGAAGCACTTGATGTATTGATTTGGTTTCGTAAAGTTCTTCGAGCGGTACACGTGTTGAAGCATGTGCATATACCTATGAGAAAAATGTTAAAATCAAGAATACATTTCTTCATTTCACAGGAGTTAGAATTTCTTGGAAAAGATGGGGGGTAAGAGTAGAAAATGTTCAGAATTAACTATAAATTCCATTCCAAAAACTTGATATAAATTTAGAAACATTTTTTTTTTTAAAGCAAAACTACGATGAAAGTTTTTCATATGCCACACAGTTAATTTTTTCGATCGCTTTATTAAGATTAAAATGAACATATGAACATATATCTATCTCGCAGTACGAATCAAATATTTTAAAACAGTATAATAATATAATTGTATGTATATATAATAAGAATCATATTATACGTAAATTGTTCCTCAACAAACAAATTCATTCAATTATCAAACTTCCTATTTCTCTTTCGAAATTATAATTTTTGTTAATTCGTTGCAAAAACAAATTCGTGACTCCGATTACCGACTCGTATACCGAGTACCTACTTGCGAGCCATCTACCTTCGCATTCCCTTCACGGACGGTCGATTTGTGCACGGCGTGAAAGTGGAAACCTTACTTACTTGGGTATGTCCTTGAAGTAACCATGAGAGTGCAGTAGGTCGTCGAGGAAGTAGACGTTTCTGACGTTGTACGAAGCACGGGTCTCGTTCCGTATTTGTAGGGCCTTGGGCAATACCCGGCGCATCAGCTCTTGCCAGGTCGCGTCCTTCACGGGCATAATCACTTCGTCGACATCCAACAGTGCGATATACTCGTACTCATACATGTGCTTATACAAACAATCGTTGTAAGGTATTAGTTCATTCTGCCGCTTGTGATTGGTTTTCTTCGTGAGATACATGTGCTGGAAGGCGGGTACGTTAGGCTGTCCGCCCGGCAAGGTTAATGGGGTCACATGTACCATACCCAGACGCTGATAATGCCGCAGCACCTTGGTCACGTTCGGGTGCACCTGCAGTTCGTAAAAGTAGATTTTGTCAGCACCCAACAGATTGATCAGCTCGATCCATTCAACCAGTCGAACCGATAGATCCTCATGCAGAAAGTCCAGACCCTTTACGCACACTGCGAAGTCCTTTTTACGTTCGGGCTTGTTATAAATTACGCGGAGATGGTTGGTGGCCGTGTCGCAACGCTTCTCCACTATGGAGACGGACGACGGTGGCTTACCGTGCGCTTGTGGTGGCACCCTACATGCTATCACGTATGGCTGATAAATGCCTTGCTTGTAATTGCCCCATTTAGGATACCATATATACTTGTATTCGAGCGTCTCGACAATCTTGGGCTCATTCTCGCCTTCGTACCATAATTGACAATACGTCTTCACAATTGGTTCAATCCGATCGATCATACCAACGATCCTAATTGCCGGCCCAATCTTGGATAATTTCCGATTGTCGTAAAACGCACCGAAAAATTGAAACGTGCCATTATTAGTTCGCAGCGTTTGCCAATAAATGTTATTGAATTCTAAATCGTAGATCTGTGGGTATTTGGCGCAGCTCTCATTGCTCCGTTTTGTCAGTTTGCTATTTTTGGACCAATCGCTCAGTGGTAAGCTCGGTATTCTTTCGGCGATCTCCTCGATTAATTGCTGTTCGGTCTTGGCAGGTCTTTTATCTAGCAACGGTTCCAGCTCGAGCGGATTTATCGTTTCCAAATGGTTTTTAAGAGTAGTTAGAGTGGTCAACAGAGCGCCGTTACCGCCGCCAACGTTGGTGAAATCGCTCAGTGACGACCTTTCCAAGAGAATTCGAGATAGACTCAAGCTCCCTGAAGAATCTCGGTTCGCACCTCGATCGTTGTTGATGCTACCGATCTCCACCAGGTTACCGATACCGTCCTCAGCCGTGGGACCACTGTCCTGACGCAAAACTCTGTTTTCCAAGTGACGAAACTGTACTGCCGCGATCATCAACAGTCCCCAGGCGAACACGAAGACGAAGGCACGCCTCGCGCATTTTGATGAACTGCCGCCACAACTCTGTCTCGTTGTCATCCTGTTGGTTTTCCCGAGATGTCTTTCCAATCAACACCTGGACGATACTGGATTGTTGAATTTCCGTATCTTTCTCTGTGAATTTAACCGTGTCCTCTTCCTCTGAGAACCAAATCTGAAACAGGAAAGCTTGTTGTCCACAAAGTGTCGATTGAATTTTAAAAACGATCGATTAATGCGAGTGATAGAGACTCTCTTTTATGCTGATTGCTTTATTATTCGATCGAAACTTATTTTTTCTACTCTTGTTAAAATCTTGGAAACATCGATAAAAATTTATTCACAAGCAATTAATTTCGCTAAAAATTAACAAAAATTTAACAAAAGTTTCAGTTTGTATTTTTCGATTTATAAATTCAAGATATGTCTATAAAAGGGTAAACTCAATGGATGATAATCCAAATTAAAATCCAGAGATTCTTATTTATTAAATCATGATACTGTTTCGTTGGAACGTTGGAAATCTTTTTTTTTTTCAGAAAAAGAAATAAGAAAATGATGACAAATGATTTATTCACAAGTAAACGATACGAAAGTTACAAAGTAATCCATGACTAGTTGACAGAATTTGGGGCAAGAGACGAGATAATGTCTTTAACTGTATAAGGACACCCGCTACTGGTAACCAGTACTCGACTATCATCAAGAAAGCGAGCGACCCTGTCGGGCGAAACCCCGTTGGCCGGACCGGGCGAGTCTCAGGAGAGCAAAAGAAAACAAGAGAGAGAAGGAGCGCAAGACCCGCTCGCTGGAGATACGTGGAACCGGTTATGCTGATGGCAAACTGTTTTTCACCTTTTGCACTTCGCTTCAACTAACCTCCTCCCTTCCTAACCACCTCGGGTCTTTTGCCCGACGATGTTTCTCTTCGTCTCTCCCTAGTCTCTTCCTTTCCTTTCCCTCTAAACCTAGGCAATGATGGCGGACTCTCAGGATCAAGTTTGACCGTAACCTAGGATTTTCTATGAAGACTCTACCTCTGTCACGTTTGCTTTATTGTATATGCGTTTATATGTATTTGTCATACTTTTTATACCTACGAAATTTTTAATCTAGCGACAGTATTTAATAGAATAATAATTTTATCCTGATAATCCTCTATCCTGTTCACATATTACTTGAAATTCTATTAATATACAGAGATGTTTAGAAGAAAAAGTAAAAACCAATTTTTCTTTCTTTTTTAGTGAAAATAACACTGATAAAAAATATACTATAAAAAGAATACGATTTAAAGGACTTTTAATTAAAATAATCATTAAATTGAAATATTTTTATTTATTCCAAATAAATATTATAATTTTATAGACTACAAATTGAAATTACTTACAGTATGAAAAAACTATAGCGATAATAATTATAGACGCACACAAGATTGACACTGATTTTACGATATATAATTAAGTTCTCGAAAAAAATCATTAATTCGAATTTTTATAATACAAGATGTAGAAGGGATTAGAAGGGAGATAGTCTTAAAGAATCTTAGTCTTAACTTCAATAAAATATACATAACATAATCAATTTCTTCATGTAATCAATAATATTGCGGTGTTATATTACAAATATAATTGAACCGGCGATTAAATGCATATGTCGAAAGACTTTAGTAATCGTAGTATACATATATATATATGTATAAAATCATCAAGTTTATGCACTTTTTACACGATTTTCGTTTGATAATTTTTCGATGGCAATATAATATCTGACTTCTTAAATTAAGCAATCATCTATATTCAAGGAATCACTATATATATAATCAACTATTATTTATTTAATCTACCGTCACGCGCCAAGTTCGATAAACGACGTTTCAATTGCAATGCGAAAGTGTAACTTGTGTACGTGCGAGCGCGATGCCATCTCGTTCCCGTTTAATTCAGGCCCGTTCTTATCGTCCCGTTTGGAATTAGCAATCCCGCACAACAGCGGATCGACCGGCCAGAACGTAAATTGCGCGGAACGAACGCGTTTATATCGACTCAATCGTCATCGTTCAATACAACCCTTCCATTACATTGAGTCTGTGTTTATCAAAAGAGAAATTTGAATATTTTCTGAAATTTTTTTCTTATAAATAGGTCGAAACTTTTCCACTAACACTTGAATAAGCTATTGTACTTTCCAGACTTTTATTGATCAAGATTTGACAAAGTTGATTTTCATAATTATATTATTTCTTATGTTTTAATTTATACGGCATTCTTGTCATCGTCAAATTTAAAATCATAATAATTCAATAAAAGATACTCAAAAAATATATATCCAAAAGTTTCCAAGTTTTACGTACGTTTGAATATATTTAATATACTTTCTATTAACATATTTAATTTGCTTCAAAATTACGGATCATGCTAAATAGATCAATTATTTTTTTAATAATCAATTTTTTTAGTAATCAAAAATCATTACGTTTGTATTATAAAAAGAAGTATCGATGATTGCGATAAGAGACAAAATAAGTTAATGTTAAATCACACACAAACTGGAGCTGGAAAGGACTTGACAGTAAATAGACATATTAAAAAAAAATTTAACATTTATTTACGATCAACGCAACAGAATTTATAAACGACGACACGGCTAATATTTAAGAGAAAGCAGGTTAATAAGCCGAAAATGTGAACAAAGTTTGACTCACTTTTCTTGGGAATCTCCGATTCAACGAAAAAATTAACAAATTGCTTTTTGTCCCAAGTGGGAGAGAATTTCTTGCTCTTTGAGAGAAATTCTTTAAGATTAAAGATAGCAACATTATTTCTTATCTCTAATCTGTTTATTGCTAGTAGTCATTCTCATTTTTTCTGAAACGTGAAAAGACAATGATATGTGAGATAAAATTAACAATATTAGTCTATATTATATATGTGTATAACCGTGATAATTAACTTTCACTTTAATGTTATAACTTCAATAAGACAAAATCTCTAAATCTTTTTAATGCAGCTTTTATTAGATGATCAAAGTTAAACTGCATACTTATGGAAAATGCAAAGAGTAAATAACAGCAGCCTATTTTTCTATCCGTCACGATCTATCCGCGCGCGAACTCGAGATTGCCAATAAAATTCTATTGGAAATAATCCTTCCATGCATTTAAACACGTTAATATAATCGCAACGTCACTAAGTGAGAAAAATATGTATCCTTATCGTAATCATGATTAGATCTCAAGGTCCTCGATCAAAAAACATAACCGCAAACTCTTGCCTTCCTTACAACAAAATGCGTTTATTGCTATTTTATTCCTGTGAGTGTATAGAAGTTTTTTATATTGTGATAAAATCTTTCGCATGTGTACATCACCTCGATAATCTTCTATTCGCTTGCGTCAGTCGCTAATAAATTATTCGTCAATGTTGCGTATATAAGATATATGATAGCTGAGTCATAATGGCTGTACCACGTGGCTATATAATGATGATTCTGCCAATCTAAACGATTCTATGATTTCTGCAAAAAATATCGATTCGCCAGATTTAATTAATTCGGATATTAATCATACTTTGGCGCAACCAAATCAGCCAGCTGATATTTTCACGGTCATTATAACATGACATGGTAATGGCTAATTTTCAAAATTTTTATAAAATGTATATAATATTCTAAATGTATCATATCATTTAATGATGATTATTATAGCATTAAGATATTTCTACGGATCAGATAAAGACACGTTACGCGTGCTCGTACAAGATACATCTGCATTCTCCGTCTTATGTAATTCCATCGCACCTCCGCGATTTCTTCTTCCATTGCTAACCACTACAGCGAAAGATGGAGAGTGTTAAAGAAGTTATTCTACGCCAGTTATCCCACAAAATCGCCAATATTATTTAAATTGACCATATAACCGCTGAGCTTTAGAATTCCACACGGTGAATATATCGAGGCGATTCAATAATAATTGGCATACTTTCAACGAGTTCAGGCTTCGATAAATGTAGAAACGATTTAATACACTGGCATATAATTACTTTTATTAATGATAAAAATTGATCACAAGCTAAAATTTTAATTTGCGTTTCTACATTAAAAAGAGAAAAACGAAAATTTTATCGAATTTTATTATTCATTTATTTATTTTTTCGAAAAAAGTAAAAAACTACCCTTCACGTTTGTTTCATGCGGCGCGGCGCGATAATTAATATCATGTATCATAAAATGACGCTTGCCTAACTCTCTTATTGCGCTATTTTATATCAAAGCTCCATTCTTCCATAACACGTAGCTCCGAGAATTGAAATCATCGAAATTAGACCGGTTTCAGTGTGCTCGCTCGAGAGAAAGACAGGAGGAATGACGACATATGTGTGCAGTCCAGCGAGGACGATTTTGTGGAAAGTCGAATAGAGAGAGCGAGTGATGCTGTTACTGCTGTTACTGCTGGCTCGGTACGTTCGCCTGCTCCAATTGCGATTTCTCGCTTACGCGTGCTAATTAACCCTAATTGTGCGAGGGGAGAAGGAAAGAGAAAAAAGGGGGGTAATCTATCTAGAGAAGGATAGATCGTGGCGCGAATAGAACAGTGGGGACGCTCTATAGCAAACGATTTCACCAGTCTCGTCCCATCGTCGATCTTCGCGATTCGAGAGCGAGATAGCATTCTGTCGTGCAATATCGTCTGCAATTGGTGGTACACAACACATACATACGTGCCGCGTATATCAAGTAAAGTATAACGGGAACTCTTTTGATTCAATACAGCACGCTCTCGTCGGTGCCACGCAATTCCGGGGCTCATTTATTATATGTATGTTTTACACGGTGACATAGTATGGCATTATGTGTTTCTTTGTATAATAGCAGATATGAGATAGATAACTAAACACGTCAATTAATTGACGCGATATTCATAATTACTTATGTATTGTCGCAGCATAAATGAATATTATGACGTTCATGACTTGATAATAATTTCTTTAAACTTAATATAGTACCAATTATATAATTGATATTCAAGAATAAGAAGGATGCTAATAATACATTCGTTTCTCAAATTTATTATGTTACAAAAGTATTAAATTTAACATCTTACGCATTAATAAAAAAATAAATTAAATAACGTAACAATAATAAAATATATGTACTGTCAAATTATTTTTAAGATAT